CTGTATCCTCGAGGAAGTGGGACTAATAGTACCTATCCAAGAAATAGGAGTGTAGTACAAAGCATGCTTATAAATCTAGCTGACAAAGTACTAAAGCACACCTTTAGGAATCCAACATGATTCATCATGGGAAAGATCTTCATGCTATTGTTGCAAGCAGACTTCATATCTTTCTCCTGTAAGCAATTGTGAATACAGGAGTGAAATAAACCTGCGATCACCAATACCATTACCAAGCTCTAAAGACTTGGGATCATAACACTGACAAATCAGTAATTCCTATGTTAATACAATATTACTCAGAATATGAAATCTTAGACTCACTATTAAGCATGTTCAACCATAAAAGGGAACATTCGCTGGAATAGCAAAATATATTTTTACAATGTCAGCCCTGAATCCATGCACTCACCTCTGAGTCAGAATGTCATAGATCAAGCAGATGGTCTATGTTGCCACTTCAACGTAGTCCTAAGGCATTTATGCACCAAAAGTGCAGTCTTCAAGATGGGATGTTAAGTCAATACCCTGTCGGCTATTAAAAAAAATATGGACCCCATGGCACTATTCCGAGGGACAAGTTGACTTATCATTCTATTGCTATCATTCAAACAACACCTGTAAAAACTAACCATCTGGACATCTGTTACGTTTGAAGCTTTTTTTTTTAAATTCATTCACGGATGAGGGCGTTTCTGGCTAGGCAGCATTTATTGCTGATCCCTAATTGTCCAGAGGGCAGTTAAGAGTCAACCACATTGCTGTGGGTCTGGAGTCACATATAGACCAGACCAGGTGAAGATGGCAGTTTCCTTCCCTAAAGGGCATTCTTGAACCAGATGGGTTTTTCCGACAGTCGACAATGGATTCATGGTCATAATTAGATTCTTAATTCCAGATATTTATTGAATTCAATTTCCACTATCTGCCATGCAGGATTCGAACCCAGGTCCCCAGAACATTATCTGGATCTCTGGATTAACAGTCCAGCGATAATACCACTAGGCCCTCGCCTCCCCACACAAATCTCTGCACACAAATGGGCTGTGGCATTTAAATACATTATATCAGTCACTACACTCTAAAAGTATTTATTTTGTTATGAAATGCACCTGTTTGCCCTTAAAGACACTACAGTTCTTTCTTCTTTCTTTTTAATGTTTTCATGTGAGACAATTCAATTCATTGATGGTGTAAAATGTGCAGTTTTTACTGTCTGAAGTTTGGCTTTAATGTAGTCATAAAATTAAACATATCTACTCAGGATCAATTTGGATTTTTTTTTTTTAAGAATTCCAGCCTTTTAGAAATGCAAGTAGAAATCACTTCATGAAGGAGCAAGCAAACTATAAAATCTCATTGCATTTGATTGTTTGTAGCACAAAGGCAACCTGAAAGGCAGCCAATCACCACAGTAATTTTTGATTCAAGTATTTATAGTCATTCAAAATACCATTTTACAAATCATGGAAATGATATTGCAGAGGAAGAGGTGTTTCAGTGCAATGGATCTATCCACTAAGGTGGCACAATTAGCCCCAGTCCCTTGTTCTTTCCCAGAACTTAGCACATAGAGTCATAGAGTTGTACAGCATGGAAACAAAACCTTCAGTCCAACCTGTCCATGCTGACCAGAAATAAATCTAGTCCCATTTTCCAGCATTTGGCCCACTTCCCTCTAAACGCTTCCTATTCAGATACCCAAATGTTGTTATTGTACCAGCCTTCATCACTTCCTCTGCCAGCTCGTTTCATGCACGCAGCACCCTCTGTGTGAAAAATTTGCCTCTGAGGTCCCTTTTAAATCTTTTCTGTCTCACGATAAACCTATGCCCTCTAGTTTTGGACTTCCCTACTCCAGGGAAAGACCTTGGCTATTCACCCTATCATGCCCTCATGATTTTATAAACCTCTATAAAGGTCACTCCTCAGCCTCCGATGTTCCAGGGAAAATAGTCCCAGCCTATTCAGCCTCTCCCTATAGCTCAAACCCTCCAACCCGTGCAATATCCTTGTAGGTCTTTTCTGAACCCTTTCAAGTTTCACAACATCCTTCCTGTAGCAGGGTGACCAGAATTGCACGCAGCATTTCAAAAGTGGCCTCCTTAATGTCCTGTACAGCCGCAACATAACCTCCCAACTCTATACTCAATGTACTGATCAACAAAGACAATCATATCAAACACCTTCTTCACTGTCCTTTCTAACTGCGACTCCACTTTGAATAAAGTATGAACTTGCACTCCCAGGCTCTTTGTACAGCAACACTCCCCAGGACCTTACCATTGGGTGTATAAGTCCTGCCCTGATATGCCTTTCCAAAATGCAGCACGTCAGATTTATCTAAATTAAACTCCCTCTGCCACTCCTCAGCCCATTGGCCCATCTGATCAAGATCCCATTGTACTCTAAGGTAACCTTCTTCGCTGTCCACTACATCTCCAGTTTTGGTATCAACGCAAATTACTAACCATACCTCCTATGTTCACATCCAAATCATTTATATAAATGATGGCAAGCAGTGGACCCAGCACTGATTCTTGTGCCACATCGCTGGTCACAGGCCTCCAGTCTGAAAAGCAACCCTCCACCACCACCCTCTGTCTTCTACCCTCGAGCCAGTTCTGTATCCAAATGGCTTGTTCTCCCTGTATTCCATATGATCTAACCTTGCTGACCTGTCTACCAAGAGGAACCTTGTCGAACACCTTACTGAAGTCAATACAGATCATGTCCACCCCTCTGCCCTCATCAATCCTCTTTGTTACTTCTTCAAAAAAACTCAATCAAGTTAGTGTGACACGATTTCCCACTCACAAAGTCATGTTGACTGTCCCTAATCAGTCTTTGCCTTTCCAAATACATGTAAATGCTGACCCTCAGGTTTCCCTCCAACAACTTGCCCAGCGCTGATGTCAGGCTCACTGGTCTATAGGTCCCTGGCTTTTCCTTACACCCTTTTTTAAATAGTGGCACCACATTAGCCAACCCCCAGTCTTACGGCACCTCACCTGTGGCTATCGATGAAACAAATATCTCAGCAAGGGGCCCAGCAATCACTTCCCTCACTTCCCACAGAGTTCTAGGGTACATCTGATCAGGTCCCAGGGATTTATCCAATTCTATGCATTTTAAGCCGTCCAGCACCGCCTCCTTTGTAATATGGACATTTTCAAGCTGTCACTATTTATTTTCCCACGTTCTATATCTTCCATATCCTTCTCCACAGTAAACACTGATGCAAAATACTCATTTACTATCTCCCCAGTCACCTTCAGTTCCACACATAGGCAGCCTTGCTGATCTTTAAGAGGCCCTATTCTCTCCCTAGTTACCCTCTTGTCCTTAATGTATTTATAGGATCTCTTTGGATTCTCCTTAATCCTATTTGCCAAAACTATCTCATGTCTCCTTTTTGCCCTCCTGATTTCCCTCTTAAGTGTACTTCTACTGCCTTTATACTCTTGTAGGGATTCACTCAATCTCTGCTGTCTACAACTGACATGTGCTTCTTTCGTATTTTTGACTAAAACCTCAATTTCTCTAGTCATCCAGCATTCCCAACACCTACCAGCCTTGCCCTTCACCCTAATAGGAACATACTGTCTCTGGACTGTTGTTATCTCATTTTTGAAAGTTTCCCATTTTCCAGCCGTCCCTTTATCTGTGAAGATCTACCCCCAATCAATTTCTGAAAGTTCTTATTTAATATTGTCAAAATTGGTCTTTCTCCAATTTAGAACGTTGACTTTTAGATCCAGTCTATCCTTTTCCATCACCATTTTAAAACTAATAGAATTGTGGTCACTGGCACTAAAGTGCTCCCCCACTAATATCTCAGTCACCTGCCCGGCCTTATTTCCTAAGAGTAGGTCGCGTTTTGCACCTTCTCTAGTAGACACATCCACATACTAAATCAGAAAAATTTCTTGTACACACTAAACAAGTTCCTCTCCATCCAAGCCCTCAACACAACGGCAGTCTCAGTCTATGTTTTTGTTTTTCCTTCAAGCACTTACCCTATTCCTTTTTGGAAATTATTATTGAATTTGTTTCCACCACCCTTTCAGCCTGTGGATTACAGATCTAAAGAATCACTGAGTAAAAATATGTCTTGCTGTTTAACCAATCTCCTAATATTATGTTCTGTGGTTCAAATCCTTCTGTCATTGGAAACACATCCTCCTCATTTACTCCAAAACCCTTCGTAACTTATGCTTCATTCTTGGCTATAAGGACAACCCCATCTCTTGTCTCATTGATAACTCAAGTCTCTCATACCCAACACAATTCCAGCAAACTTTTCTGTTCCACCTCAAAAGGCTCTGACACACTTCCTAAAGTGTGATGCTGAGAATCAGGCACAGTCCAGGTGGACTAACCACAGTTTCATATACAGCTAGCATAGTTTCCTTGTGTATTTGCATTTTATGCCACTTTTAAAATAAACAGTGCTTTCTCAACATGTTCTGCCAAAGAATTTTGCGCTTATAAAAGCATCACTCTGTTCCTGGGTGTCAGCTAAAATTGTATGATTTAGTTTAGAGTCCTCTCTACATATTTCCTACCAAAATTTATCATTTCATAATTGCCTAATGAAATTGTTGAATAATTTACATGTTTAAGCACAAACCTTTAGAATTATCAGATGTAGACTGTTAATTCTAATCACCCATTTAAATGGTATCCATTAACTATTTCTCCAGAAATCTAAAGAACCTTAAATTAATGCTACTTTGTGACCCCTTACAAGATGCACAAGTGTAGGTTAGAATCATTTGTTGTTCTTTCTCCATTTGCTGAAGGACTTCTTTCTGTTCTATTTGATTATATTCAAGCCCTCACCCATTTATGCAGTCATTTACCAAATTAATGATAAACTAGTGCACTATTTTCTCCCAACACTTCTAATATATTACTTATATGGTTTAACAAATACTCTTTACACTGCAAACTTTCTGGCATGGCATTTGTTATGGAAAGTGCAAAAAGGCAGTTACCCTATCAATGTGTCCTGCTGCAGTAGCAAGAACTCTTCCTTTCTTCCAATCCCAAACACAAACAGTGTTTTTGGAATCCAGACCAATAGATACCAAACGCTGTGAAGAGGGGGAAAAGATATAGAAATTAGTGAAAACTTCCTCATTTTTCTATTGGTTTACAAAACTTCATAAATCCTCCCTCCCACCCAATCCCTTCTTATTTGCATCTTAGAGTGTCTATAGTTACTCAAACCCACTGTAATTAACCAGATTTTCCATTCATTGGGGAATATTTCTCCACTGAAAAAAGAATCTATAAAGTCAGTTTAAGATAAAAAGGTTCCATGACATTTGGTATTAGCATGAAACCTTGCAACTTACTATTTAAAATCTAAACATTTTTTGAGTATTATGAAATAACACTGAATAGCTACATTGTTAATCGTATGGGAATTCTTTTCCACAAAACTTCCACACATTTCATGTTATTTTAGATCTGATCCAAAGCACAACTCAAAGTATTTAAATTAGTTTCCTTTTGCACCTAGTTGAGAAGTAGGAGTGAAGCATACATCTTGGATCCATAACATTCAGTACTGTAAATAGTTACAATGACAAGATTCAGCAAATCAACAAAATTAAACCATTTGTATTTTACACCATGAGGAAATGGACATTTTGTACAATTGCTAAAGAGAATGAGTCATTAGGAGTCTGCACACTATAGTTTCTGTCCTGGGAAGAGAGTATGTGGTCAACCTAAGGATGTATCAGAATATTTACTGGATAGTCATTCAAATGACAATGTTTTAATTTCAAAGGATACAGGATAGTACTGGGTGCAGACAGCCGAAGAACCTCATTTATTATGGCTAAATTGCATACAGAGAATATCACTAGGTAATCCCAACATCCCTAATCTAATTATATCAGGTGTGGAGATGGTGCTAACAAAATCAACCACTGATGTTCCATGTTAAAGTATAATTAAATTCAGCAATCAGTTCCAAGTACTTGTGTGTCACAACAATGAATTTCAAAGAACAAAGTTCCAGTGTCCTTTAGTTGGTGTCTCAACCTAGTTGAGATGCATCTATATCTAAAATCAGAGATGGTGATGGTAGGCTACAACTTATACACTGTTACTTGTGGATCCACTATTGGCTTCACTGCACAAGGGGCAACAAATGAAAACACGTGACTGACTATGATTGAAATACTGGTCTCAACCCCATTGTGATTGGGCCCAAATCATGAGACATACATTAAACAAAGGATTGAGCATTTCTCTGAATATCAGAACTGTCATGGAAATTGGAATAGGAAAAAGACTGTTTAGCTTTTTCTGTGCCTAGCATAATCGTAGAACTTGGAAACAGACAGGTGCGCAGGGACCAAAAAAAACTTCCAGTTGGAAGCCATACTTAGTTAGATTTCAATCGTACAGGAATTGTGAGCTGCCTTCCTGTTTCAAGAAAGTTAACAGATAGTTTGAATAAAACTTCAAGCATAGACTGCTAATAATTTAGAGCAATTGTATGGGAAAATCTGAGATGACAGAAATGGAAAAAATTTGGATAGTTCCAAAGTGGGCTGTGGAGGTGACATCACAAAGAAAGGCAGGTAATCAATGTAATCACACTGGCTTAGAACTGTTTTTTTTCTAAAAGGACATGGAGAATGCATTAACGATGCACGCAGGTTTGGAAAACTTTAAAAAATTACACAATAAAAAGTAAGCAAGGTTATCTAACAAATTAATGCGAGCAAGCAACACAATGCAATACTAAATAATGAAGAATCAATTTATAGAATCAACTTATTAGAATTTGTGCTAAATCTTCATACATTTCTTCCACCAGTAAACATCAGTCTAATTTCCATTTTATCATACGTGACACGGCAAGATGAAAAATCTAACTAGCATGTAAGTTACTTACCTGGCCATCATGATCAAAGGCCAAGCAGGCTACTCCATGTGTATGAACATCTTTCAGGATGGATATCGTCTGCACATTGTAGGTATCCCACACACATATATGTGGCTCCTTTCCCACTTGACCTGTTGCAACTAAAGTTCGTTCTGGGTGCAACGCTAAACTGTGGATGATTACAGAAAGTATATTTTTGATAACAATGTAATTCAAAACATCAGCTGCAAAGCTCTTTGGTATTAGTAATACAGCCAAATTCTTACTAGAAAATATTCATTCTCATTAGATTCCCAGAGGAGATCATGGCTGATTTGGGGCTTTTTTTAAATCTCTCAGCTCATCTTTAAATTATGGCAAGCATGTCAACTTAAAAGAAAACCTGTGGTCCTTGCAATGCCATAGCAACCTTGGATAACCTGCCTAGTAGTGTGATTTAATGGCTCACAATCATGCATGTGCGAAGTGAGGAAAAAGGTAACAACCTTTCTTTTCATTATTTTCGCTGCTGCAGAAACTTCTGATGTCTGTGCGCAACAGTGACATCTGAAACAAGAAGTCAATGCTTGGAATGGCATCAGCACAATAATCTGTAAGTAAGGAACCTCCAAGTGGCTCTGCAAATTAGGGGTGCTTTGGATGGTAAATATTTCTTACTTCCCTGAACGGGTGCAAATTGGCACCATTCGGGATGAAAGAGACCATTTGATCAGCACCCCATCCGCCAATTCAAACATTCACTTCCTTCACTGCCAGGGCACAATAGCAGCACTGTGTACCATCTATATGATACATCGGAACATCTGGCCAAGTCACTTACTACTATACCTATAAAATGTGAAGCCTCTGACATCTGATAGACAAAGGCAATGGGTGCCTGGGAATACCGCTGGCTCTATATCCTGCTCCAAATCATACCCCCATCCTCATCTGGAACCATATCATTGTTCCCTCACTGTTGGAGAGTGAAAATTCTGGAAACCTTTTTTCTAACAGCCCTGCAGGTGCAACTATGCATTATGGGCTTTGTGGCTTAAGGCACCAGTTCACTACATCTCTTAAGTATGGACATTAAATAATGGATTTGGTGGCAGTGGTTACCTTCCATGAATAAATTAAAATAATAATCAGCATGCCAAGCAGAACTACAAAGATTTATATAGAATATTATCACATCTGTTTACTTCCAGAACATGGTTTCAAGTATCTCTGGAATTTTCACCACTTGAATTGTATATTTTGTTTCTTTTTTGGGGCCAAAAACAGAAATGAAATTTGAACTGCTTGGAAACTGAAATCCCAGGAGAGTTTTGCAACTTGAAAATCAAGGACTACATATTTTTGAATATTGCCATATCATTTTGTTTTGCTTTGAAGCAGCAAGGCAGATAATGCGATACTGAAAGTCCTTTGAGTTAAGGAAATTCTTCCTAACAACAGCCCTCTGATAGGTTGAGCTGCTGATTATTTAATACTGTAAGTGCCAGGACAACAGATAGAGAAGCATATGGAGCCTGCAAAGAGAAAACTTCCATCTCTCCCTCTCTCTCCCCTCATGTGGGTAAAAGACAGAAAACCAAGAAAGCTTAAAGGGAAGAACTCTGACAAGAAAGGACCTAGGTCCACCCAATCAATTATCAAATAGAAGAATGACTATAACCATACAGATAACAGCATGTCTTCATTGTTAAAAATCAAACAAAGACCACCCCTGAAATCTAGACTTTTGAGCTTAGGAATTTTGCTTACTTGCCCATATTCTTCTTCCACTCATTGTATCTGTGTCAAACTTTATGATTGCATGTGCATATGTGCCTGCATGTATGTGCAGATATTTGAAGGAGAATAGATGAAGTTGTGCAGTAGTAGTAGTAGAAATCTTTTGTCTTCTTGTTTTGGTTAATTATGCTACAATAAATAGATATTTTTGGTTAAATGACAAAACCTGGTGTTTTCTCCTGAATTGCAGTCAGAGAGGCAAATTGGTCTTATTGATAATTGCATTTTGGGATGGCTTGTGGAACAGTGGGGCATGATTATCAATGCACATTTCCCAGTTCAGTCTTAATAACTATTGTAAAATGACTAAGGTGCTGCGCAAAAGGTTAATATGCACAAGGTAAGATCACATGGCATTAGGGCTAATAGATTAGCTTGGATAGAAGAATTGGCTAACCAACAGAAAGCAGAGAGTCACAATAACCGGGTCTCTTTTTAGTTGGCAAGCTGTAATTAATGGGTACCACACGGTTCAGCTTTCGAGGCCCCAACTATTTACAATCTATATTCATGACCTGGATGCAGAGATAGAATATACCACAGCCAAATTTTTAGATGATACTAAAATAGGTGGGAAAACAAGTTGCAATTAAGAATAAGAAATTTACAAGTAGATATGGATAGCTTAGGTGAATAGTCCAAATATTGTTGATGGAGTTTAACGTGGATAAGTGTAGGGTTATCCATTTTGATCAGAAGAATAAGAAGGCAACTTGTTATCTAAGTGGAGAGAAAATTCAAAATATTTCAGTGCAGAGGGATCTGGGATTCCTCTTGCAGAACACTAGCATACAGGTTCAGCAGGTAAGAGGAGGGCAAATTGGATTTTGGCATTTATTGCCAAAGGAATGTTCACAAAAGTAGAGAAATGTTGTTGCAATTCTACAAGGCATTAGTGAGACCACATCTAAAACATTGGGATCCCTTGACTAGAGATATAACTGACTTGAAGGCAGTTCAGAAAAGTTGTACTAGCTTAATTCTAGAGATGAAAGGCTTATTCTATTAGGACAGTTTGAGCAGTTTAGGGCTATACTTGCTAGAGTTTAGAAGATTGAGAGGAGATCTAATTGAGGTATACAAGACGCTTAAGGGAATTGACAAAACAGACATCAGCAGATATGTGGAGAAAGAATCTAGAATGATAGGTCATAGATTCAGGCTAAGTGGTGGCAAATTGAAAACAGAGATAAGGAGGAAATTACTTCTCTGAAAGGCTCATGAATCTGTAGAATTCACTTCTCCAGAGTGCAGTAGACACTGGGACACTAAACAATTTCAATGAGGAGATTTTTAATTAGTAACAGGTTGAAAGTTTATGGGTAGAAGGCAGGAAAGTGTGGTTGAGACTGAGATGAGATCAGCCACAATCGTATTAAATAGTGGAACAGGCTCAAGGGACTGAATTGCCTATTCCTGTTCCTGGTTCTTATGAATATTCAACCCAATAATCATAATCAAAGAATGTAAGATTGAGCAAAAATCCCCAATATTAAAACACATGGATTTTGGACAGAATTCTGGACTTTCAAAATTTTTAAAACCAGAAATGAAAGCTGGAAAGCATTTTTGCAGGAAGATGGATGAAAGGAGGCATAGTCAAGATAGTTGTGGAGCCAGTGGGTTTGAAATGGATGTCATCGGTGAGTCGGTTTCTGGAGATGGAGACAGAGAGGTCCAGGAGTGATGGGGGAGGTGTCAGAAATGGTCTAGGTGAATGATGGTGGGGTGGAAGGTGTTAGCAACATTGATGAACTGCTCGAGCTCCTCATGGGAGCACGAGGCAGCGCTGATACAGTCATCAAAATAACAGAGAAAAAGAGGTGACAGATGCTGTCTCTGCCTCCGCCTCATCAGCTACCAGGATGAGGCATTCCACTCCAAGTCTGACTATGCCTGTTTCTTTGTAGGATTTGTGGAACAGTCCCTCCTCTGCAACTATGCTGGCACCATCCCTCGCCTCTTTCTCCCTTATATTGATAACTGTATCAGCACTGCCTCATGCTCCCACGAGGAGCTCAAGCAATTCATCAACTTCAAATTTCACTCAAGATACTAGTTTGCAGAACAACATTGACACTTTACCAATGTTGTTGTTGCCATTTTTCAGATGAACTGTTAGCAGTGATTACTTCTGTCTTCAAGTGGACATATCAGATCAGCATACTTGATGAGCAGCAGGGCAGTTCCATTCGTATCTTGGCAAATATCTGTGCCTCAACCAACATCTCTAAAGCATATTACAGAAAAGAACAAAAGCACTGCGGATGCTGGAAATCAAAACAACAACAGAAATTGTTGGAAAAACTCAGCAGGTCTGACAGCATCTCTAAAACATATTAGCCAACTGCCTAATGTTTTGCTGTGCACAAACTAGATATTGCATTTTCCTGCATTAATGTTCTCTGTAATGTAGGAGTCAGCTAGTTAGTCAGATCTAGCTTCTTTTGACATTTTTAAAATTGCACAACTCAAATTTAAGAACACTCAATGTCTTAATTCTTCTCAAAACAACAGCTTAAGATTCCTAGATTCGGATAACAGCTGGTCAAAACGTCACTCATCAGTCATATAAATAAACTGTGCCCTCAACATGCTAAACTTCAACAGTCTCAACTTCTGAAAACATGATCCCACAAAATCTCATCTCCACCCTCAACTTTTTCCACTGATCAATAGTGACTGCTCAAATTCTACGCATTAAACTCAAAATCTTTATCCTTGTATTCTAAATCACGCATGCATCCTGTCTCAAATGCTTTGTTCCTCAGAATTCTGTCTTTCTCCCTAAACAGAGTTGTTATCATCTCAATCCCACTATTGAGTACAACTTACATAAATGGCTACTCCATCAACTCTGTGAAAAGTCCTCAAGGTTTTGAGACATCCTTTTAAAACAATCTCTTTCCAGTCGAGTGTCAATCTTCCTTGTGCTGATTTGAGAAAAACTTTGGGATGTTCATTACACTTAGCACACTATATTAATACAAACACTTCAACATGACTCCATCTGGCTTTGGAAGACAACAAACTGACTTTTTACGCCAAGTCAGTCTGAAGATTTCTGACTGATATTTCTTACATCTTGATTTGGTTTGATTTAAAGAGAAGTGCTTTGAAAATCTCAATAAAAATACAGTTTCTCTAACAAATTGCAATCACTATAATCCTCACCAAAAACAAGGGTCCCAATATTAACTCCGGGAAACTTCAGTACAAACCTCTTTCCAGCCTGAAAAATAACCCATTAACTATTACTGTTTTGTACCCTTCCATGTTGCTATAGACACTTTTACTACATGAGCTACAACTTTTCTCAAGTTGCATGGCTCTGTATTGAATATTATTTGGAAGCCCATGTGCACCATATCAAAATGCTTTCCCTCATCA